ACAGAGAGATGAAAGGGAGATTTCGTTATGAGTGGTTCAGCATGTGAGTGAATTCACTGCCCGAAACTCATCCAATGTGTCCCAATACCTCTGGCTGGCAGAAGGGAAGATCATAATAACGGTAGGTCTCTGTAGGATTCGAGAAGGGCCATACTTTATTCATACCTGGTCATGACACCAATTTAGTATGCCTCCAATAACGAAACCGGACTCACTGATTGTCACCATGCTCCGCTTCATAGTTAGCATCTCATAACCACTCGTGATGAATTGACAGAGAAGAGCCAATCCCAACACCAGTGTTGCAACCGTTGGGGACCTCATCGTGATGGGTACTATTGAAAAGGATCTTTTGCTCCTGAAGGTGTGGATGAACACAACACCAGTATGAGTAGAGCTGTACATATGAGCTATGATTGCCCAGACGAAACAGAGGGTACAAAGATAGTCATAACAACCCTCATAGTGTTGCTATCATCATATATACCCGTCTATTGGAATATGTACTTGATAGTCGGTAGGGTTGTATCCACTTGGTCATCCATATCACTGGCAGATACTTCAAGCACCAAGTAGTTCCTATGAGAGAGGATAATCTCCAGAAACCTCAGTAGTCTTACCTAGTAGGAGGGATCTTTTGTTTAGTGATCTCCTCATAGAGCTCAGGCATCTTCTGATCCAAACGCTTCTTGTGTGCGGGAAGGAATGCATTATAGAGGCATGCATTCCCGGATGAGAGGATCATAACCTGATATGATCAACACTAGCCACCGAAGGGCATAAGCATCGAGAGTGATACCACTACAGTGGAACGTGGGGGTTTCAATCGATACATGCAGATCAAGTATGAATCGTTCTGAGGATATGCTACGCACAGGAATGCCCACAACCAATGACATGGATGCACTTTGCAGTCCCACCACGCGAGAGATGAGGATCGGAATAGGAGCATCACATGCTCATTTAAATGATGGATGTATGACAAATACATTGATAGTTTTACCTCGGCATTCTGTTCCTTAGCAAGCCAATCGATCAACTCCCTCAGAGTGCCTTCAGGGCCATGATTTATGACCAACTTCATCCATGGAGTAAAACCCTCAGGCTTGGCTCTCACTGGCCCCATAGCGATGGGGTCATACTCCTTTGATACTGTCTTCATCTGAATGATCCCACACTCGTTGCAATTATCATCATATGCAGCCGACTCACA